ACACATAATTTATTTATCTTCTCTAGGCCTCAGTTTCACCATTTGTAAAATGGAATTCATAGTAGTGCCTACATTGTAGGATTGTGTGCTAAATTCATATGTTCATATATATGTACATATATCTGTACTTCACACAGAATAGCCTATTGCACACGTATTCAATAATAATAATTATTACTATTAGTGTATCAAGTAAAAATGCTCCATTGTGTTGCCACATTAAATGTACTTTCTTGTCCAGCACTAAGTCCAATAACCAAGTGGAAGTTTTTGTTTAATCGTCACCTTATCCATTTTGCCATTTTTGGCATACTGTGGGAAAAGATTTACAGTCTTTTGAAAGATTTAGTCTGCAACAAAGATTCCCAAAATTGGATTTAGTCTAGTGGCCTTTTCCTTGGTGCACTTCAAATTATCACCATAAGGTGGAGATCTTCCCTTATTTTATAATCACAAGCAGTTCAAAATTGAAATTTTAACAAGATTTGAGTAGATGGAGGGAGAGTACTGAGAACCAATTATAATTGATTGCTGTCTTAGTATAGTAAAAGTCACCCTGTCTTTATTTTTCATCATGTTTTAAGAGAATACTGTTGCAAAGTTTCAATCTTAAACATCTTGGAATAGACAGTTGTTTCAGAAAAATTAAAACATCTATTTGAGGATTTTCAGTTTAAATCAGAAACATGAGATTTAAAAAAAAATCACACAGCTTAAAATGATTGAGTGATGACATTATATATGAATGTCTTATTTGTGTATATACGTGCACACCCCCCCCCCACACACTAATATCTCAATTTCCCTAAACCTCTTAAAGGCCTCAAATGGATGTCTGAGTATGCTTGCTCTGGGGATTGGGGAGGTACAAGTCAGATACTTGAAGTTATTTGGTTACACATCTCAGATGTCTGCCTTAGGTGACTAACATGTCTCTGAGCTTTAAATGTTGACAGGCACGATGGTCCCACTTCCTCACCTTGTACAGTGAGGAAGAAAATTTCAAGTATTTTCACTGTGTTCATGATCAGAGTTCTAAAGTTTTTCATTCTGTGCCTATGGAATTAAATTAAATAGCAGGGAGTATCAGAGTTTGGTACAACTTGATTGGGTGGTTTTCCTCAGGACTTAATGAAGAAATTTTTAGCAAAGCCAGAAGAGGGCACCATCTGGGTTGTGGGATCTTAGATAACTTTTTTCATATTTATATCATTCTCTATTGATCTGTATTTCTCTCTGTCTCCCTATTTAGTTTTTGCAGTGAGCATGCAGTACTTTGTAATTTAAATAAAATGACTCCACTTCTATTTTGGAAAAACAAGCAAAGCAAAAGCTGGATGAGATGCAAAACTCTGGTCTTGGAAGGGAGCACAAAGTGTCACCAAAACTTAAGGGGACCAAATACGGATATTGATCTTGAGTTATGGAACCAAGGGTCGGAATACTAGGTGGTGGGTGGTGAGGGCAAGCATAAATGAGTGGTTTGAGAACAATAAAGATGATTGTGGTGTGTAATACTGAGCAATTATTTAGAGAAAAGATTCACCCCACTCAGAGTGAGCAGAGATAAGCCTTCCAACAGTTTACCTATGTGAAAGCCCTGATGGACTCCACTTCAGACCCATAACCCCCAAATTGTTGGATACAACAATTCAGATTCCTTGTTTGGGGTCATTGGGGTGGATCAGGTAGGGCAAGTGGCAGGCAGGATGTTGATGGGCCAGATGTAAGCCTCTTTCTTTTCTTGAATTACTAGGCAGTTTCTAATAGGTAACATTCCAGAGTTATGGTTTATCACTAGTATTCTGGGATTCTCCACACCCTGACATTCAGCGATGAGATATCTATAATACATTACAGATAAGAATCCTGCATAGTAGTCTAGAGGGGCTTTCTGGTTGGTGTTTGGTGAAGAACAATCACTTTGATTAAGGAGGGCCTGGGAATATTCATTTGCTCAGTCCTTACCTACTCCCGATGCCCCATTGTAAGCCTGATGGCTATAAACAACTATGCTTGTAGGAGAAAATATAGAAATTTTGCTGGAATACCTTTGTTTTGGGGAGCAGACAGTTAGTGTTGTGTGTGGAAGGAGAAGCACAGCTAAGTGGGCACATTCACAGCTGTACTAGCAACTTTACTTTAGTCAGTTTTGCCTTGAACAGGGCTACTTGGTGTCATCTGTCTTTTTTTTTTTCCTTACAGTGCATTAGTCCAAGTAGTGTTATGGAAAGCTCTGGAAACTTATGAGAGATAAGGGGGGGGGGCGGATATTACCAACTAATATTTTAAAAATCTGTCTTTGGGTTTAAGCAAGTTTTGCTCAGCATACATCATACTTTGTTTACATAGTTGGATCTTTATAGCTCTGTTGCATTAGCCAATTGCTTAACTTGTTTGTTTTCCTAACTTTGCAAGAAATGGAGCTTCATCAGATAAAAGTTGACAGTGACGGTACAGTAGATTCATAATTTTGTTCTAACCATTGAAACATACCTCTGTATAGCCATTGGAAAAGAAGGATGTCAAGGCCTTGACTTGCTTTTCTGCTTATAGATGAGAAATGTCACATCTTTGCATAATTTGCTTTATATTGAAACACAGATTTTTTTAGGCCACTTTGTTTCTCTGACCCATTTTCCCCCTCTTTTCTGTCACTTGGCTTATATAAAATAAGAAACTGGGAACCAGGCACTACAGGCTGCATGATGACTGTGTCACTGATTTGGTATGTGATCTTGGTCAAAATGCTCAACAGATGAGGAACAGAAAGGTTACAAGAAGTTCCTAAGGACTGTAAATACTGACTTGTCTCATTAAGATGTTGTTTAGGTCAGTAGTTTTTTCTTTTAAAATCCAAAACCAAACAAAACCAAAAAGAAGCAAACCAAAACAAAAAATAAGTCCCTTTTTCTACTCTGTCCCTTTCTTAGTCCCTTTTGTTCTTTCCTATATCCACTAATCAAGTCCAGAATAGAGAAGGTCTCTTTGGAAGATGGTTCTCACCCATTTTGGTCTGTGTTCTTGGAAATCTAGCAGCATATTTTGGATATACTTTTGGGTGGTTGGCCTGTGCAAATGGGGAGTTCTGTGTGAGAAAGAAAGCCATCTGTGTTAAATACAGTAATAATATTTGGCTCATGTAGATCAAGATTGGGTATGTGGAGAGTCAAGTCCTAGGCCTAATCTCACTCCTGACCCTGGCTCATTATGTGCACTCAGGTACATTTTGGTGTATCACAGAAAGGGACGCGAGCCAGCCTGCTTGGGAGAAAAAAAACTTGGCTTGCTAGAAAGTCCAGAAGAGGACTTGGTGCTAGAATACACCTGAGAAACACTATGACCATAACCATCAATTTATTCCTGATCTTATCAGTGAAATGAGTATTAGATTAGGTGTGTCTTACCCAGCTCATATGACTATCATGTATATTAAATTAAAATATAAAAAACAGAAATGTATTTGAACTCCTTGGAAATATAATTTCCAGGCCCAATGATAGTAAAATAGGATCATTATGTTATAACATCTGTTTGAGGTTCTGGTGATATAGACTGTGATTCCTGCTAATGCTGTTGTAGTCTACAGTAGGAGGACACCAAATGGTTCTTTTCTCATGCTGATTTGTATGTGTAGTTACAACCAAGTCTGCTAGTGGGACCATCTTAGTGTAGAATCTTCTATTCTGCTCCAAGAGGGGAAACTATTTTAAAGCTCCTCTTTAAAACACATAAATCTGTTCTGGAATATATCACAATTAGGTATAGATGTAAGTAAAAGAGAAACTTTCCTCAGATACCCAGACTGGAAAATTTGTCATCCTTGACACCTCCTCCTTGCCTTGCTCTCCCTACCAGTCTTAACAGTTTCACCTTCTGTGGCAGATACTGCCAGTTAACTTCCTAATATTGAATATCTATTCTTACTTTTTTTAAATAAGAAGAACTGGATTTTTATCTGGGAATACTGTTATTCAGCTAAAAGACACTTTCTCAGCTTTCCTTGCATGTGTCCACATGACTGAGTTCTGGCTAATGAGATTAAAGTAAGCATATGATAAAATATTTTTAGGAGATCTCCTTAAGAAGGTAAAGCTCAAACATTTCTTCTTTTGTTTTCCTTCAGTGTACCATCTGGAATGTGGATACAATGGCTGGAATATCTGCATTTATATTGGACCATGACGACATCAAAGTTTACACCTAGAAGGAGTCTTTATTTCATGGCACTACCATTTCAGCACTGAATTTCCTCTCTGAAATTCTATAGTATTTATGCTACCTTTATTTCGTGGCAATGCCCACAGAAGAAATAGTTTTGAGGGGGAAGATGAGTTTGGATTTTGGGCATGTGATGGTGAAACACTGGCAGGACCACTCAGAGAGATGTAGGCTGCTCACATCCACGGAATGATGCTACAGTTGAATTAAACCAGGCAACTTTCTTTGCTTCTGTCCTCCTGCTATACAGTTATTAAAATCCAGAAGAAGTAGAGTTAGCTCCACAGAGCTCACTGTGGGACATGTTGGCCTACACTAAAAGCCAGTAGCCTTCTTACTGGCTTCTCCACTTCTAGTCTTTGCCCTTGAAACTATTTTGTACATTGGTCCCAAGGTAACTATTTTGAGACAGGGTCTTAGTGTGTAAATCAGGCTGGCCTTGAGCTCACTCAGTAATCCATGCTGGCCTCAAACTTGCAGTGACCCTCCTGCCTCAGCCTCCCGAGTAGAGTACTGGGCTTACAGGCTTGTCCCACCAGCCTGGTCCTAAGAAACCTTCATTTTGGTGGTGGGGGGTGTGTTGACACAGGGTCTTGCTATGTAGTTCAGGGTGGCCTTAGACTCACTAGGTAGCCCAGGCTGGCCTCGAACTCTCTGGGGCAATTCTCCTGCTTTAGGCTCCAGAGTGCTGGTATTATAGACATGTGCCACCATGCCTGGCTCCAAGATAATTTCTTTTTTTTTCTTCTCTTTTCTTTTTTGGCACTGGGGATCAAACTCAGGACCTGTGAGGCAGGTGCAGCATCACTGAGCTAAATCCCCGGCCCTCCAAGGTAATTTCTTAAAATCATCTTGATCTGTGCCTACCTGGCTAGGGTTTGACTTTCTTATACTAATATTCAAGGGCATTCACAATGTGGTCTGAATCTATTTTTCCAAGTTTTTTTCACTATATGTTCATATACCCAATGCTTTAGTCAGGGTACCCTCTCTGTTCTATTTGTGTGTCACAATTTTCTCTTTTATGCTTTTGCACATGCTGAGGATCATCATCAGTCAGTCAGTCACAGATTCTTGGTGCAAAATGGAAAAAGGTGTCTCTTCTTCAAACTACCTTATTTCTGTCTTTTTTCGTATCATTTTACTGACTGCTAGAAAATGGCATTCTCTCGCATCTACTATAATTTTTTGGTAATAAATATATAAATTACTCTTGGAATGACAAAAAAGGTTATTAAAATATAAAAAATTCAAGTAATGAAGATGTGAACAATATGAACACTGCCCCCCTAGATGTGGCACTTTTTGTAGCACACTGCTCATACTACTCCCTTCACCTCCACCTCCCTCCCAATCACCGTCTTCATGTGTCTAAGAGCTACTTGAATGACACTTTCATGAAAATAAATCTCTTCTTACTCTGAAAACCAAGTATAGTTTATCTGAACTTCTATCAGGTTATCACCTAAGAGTACTATGTTTATTTATGTGCATATGTTGTCAGTCTGCTATACTAAATGGTCTTTGCGGGCAGGATGAATTTACAATTAACTTTTGTTGTTTTACAATACTTAGATAGTATTCTACTTAGGGTTACCATGTGTCTTAGTTTGCCCAGGACAACCAGGGTTTATGCCTGTTTCTCTGACATAAATATTAATAGTGCTGCCTTTCACACTTAGAATAACCCCAGTTAGAATGTCAAACTGTATAGTCACTCTATTTGCATGGTATGTGCTCAGTAAATAATTGATGGATTCATGGCTGAATGAGGAGGATTAAGTAGATATCTACACAGAGAAGTCAGTTGAATATGTGGAATTACTACGTAAAGTGATTGCCAAAAATATCAAATTCAACAACAAAAATCAGCAGCACAAATGTATTAATTTTTCAAAAGAAATGGTGAGTATGTTCATCAAATGCAAGAGTATAGAAAAGGTGAGGGCCAATGACAAGACCTGTAGGGAATGCCTATATTTTTTAGATAGAGGAAGAAGAGCCAATAAAGGAGACAGAGCAGAAGCAGTCAAAGAAGTAGGAGAAAAATCAGGGTAGTTTCGTGGAAGCCAAAGAAAGATTTTTTTCTTTTTTCTTTCATTTTTTCATGAGTACATGTCGGCAGTACATAATGTTTACATTCCTTGTGTGGATTTGGTACATGTACATAGCACATCTTAATTCCTTTTTTCAACCCCATTCCCTCCCCTCTTTCCTCCATCCCCCTTCCCTCCATCTCTTGATCCCCTTCTGGTTTAAGTTTGAGAAAGATTTATAACCCTACTTCCTGTTATTGTATCTGTGTTTTATTTTGCTCTGTATAATTTGGGTTTTTCATATGAGAGAACCTATGCAATATTTAAGCTTATGTGTCTGATTTATTTTACTTATTATGAAACTTTTAAGACAGATAAAATGATCAGTAGTGCAGCAAGGTCATTTTAAGAAAAAGCCATTGAATGCCAATTATGAGATCATTGTTAACTTTCAAGACAGCAGTTTGAATAGAAGTAAGAGATTGGAGGGTCGATGCTAGGTTGCGAGGGGTTAAGGAGTGAACTAATCCAAAGAAAAGAGTCAGTGAGAAGTTTGATTTGTGAAAGGAAGGTGAGAAATTTGATGTTAACTTGGATCAAGGCCAAGGGAACCCTCAATATAGAATAGACTGTGAGGAAGGAGTCTCTCAAAATAGCTGACAAAACTTTTTCTTTGGAGTGAAGAGGGGATGAGGTCAAGCGTCCAAGTAGAGGACATGGTCTTGGCAAGGACAAAGTGACACATGGCTGGTTTTCAGACAGAATGGTTGTGGTAGAATACAGGCAAAAGCACCATGTATTATACATTTTGGAGAAAGAAGGGGAATGAGGGAGCCTAGGTGGCCACAATCTTTGCAGTGAAATGGGTGGTGAGGTCATCTGTGAGAAGAGGTACAGATGGGGTAGAGCTGAAGGCTTGAGAGCAGTGGAAACAGTTTGGATTTGGAACAACTGTTGTAAGAAATTCCCGAGGGAGTCAACAAGAGGCCTGCCAAGCTGTGGTGCAAGCCCAGCTGAAATTTAACTTCCCAGACTGAGTGAGATAGTTATTTCCACAGAAGCCATAGAAAATATATTTCTCAAGCTTATCATCAAAATATGTTTTTTTCCTCCACCAGGAAAAAAATAAAGGAAAGCATTTTGGCTGTTTACAATGTGGCAGAGAGTTATGAGCATAATGTTCCCCAAAAGACTCCTGTTGCTCAGTCATCCATAAGCCTTAGAGGAACCTTAGTGAAAAGGAATGCTTCACATAGGTTGTTTGTGGGAGGTTAAGAACATAACCCTGAAGACAAAGACCTTCTATTTTCAGAGCTACTCAGGGACAAACCTTCAGGTGCTATGCCTAGCTCAGAGCAAAAGTAAACACTGACATTTTATGTAAGACAGTGTAAAGTTGCAAATAGCCTCTGTGATAAAACTTGATTTAACTGGGCAAAACCTTTAAGCTTACAAGCAGCCTGTTAAATCCAGCAGACCAAATGTCAGGTGTTGCCCTTTAAAGCCCAAGTAAATGACCATCGTCCTGGTGGCTTAAAATGAGAAAAGTTAAACACCTCACACACACAGGTAATCTTTCTAAATGTTGTTTAATCATATATTCATAATTATTACAGTGTTCTTTAAGGAGGATAACATTTGGAGACAACTGTTTGGCCAAAGTGTTAGGCATTATTGTTTTGAAAACAGAGTTTGCTTTCTTTGTTTCAGTGGGGAATCAGGGTGGCATTGATCCAACAGCGCAGCTGCCCAAGTACATAAACAAGTGACTCCAATTCTTTTTAATCCACCTTTTTTTACAAAGTGCAGGATCCACACATATGCACTTGATTAGGGATATTTTCATATTTTTGCTACCAGATTCTTATAATGGTACATATCTGAGAGATGAGCAGTAATATAGATAGAATATAAGTCTTAAGGAATACTTGCATAAGGTGCCATAAGCATTTTCACTTAGATGTCTCTAAACTACTCACGATTTCCCTCTTGTTTACTCAGTGAAAGAATTGTTTATTAAGCACCACTTGCATTAAATTATACAAGTATTCATTTCCTTTGGAAATAATTAACTTGTTTATGCATTGATTTCTTCAACCTTATCAACTGTGCCATTTCAGTGGCATTATAGAGAGGGAAAAACATACCATTTGGGCGTAGGCTTTTTCAGTTTCAATCTCAAGTAGGAATATAACTGGCTCACTTCAGTGTGAAGGAGTTCCCTTCATCAACTCTGTCATGTAATTCTAATTAGCAATTGGCAGGAAATGACAGAGGTTGTAGGCATAGGAATTGCCTGTCTCTTCTGGAGAACCCAGAAAGAAAACCTATTTGCTTCAATAATAGGAATTATTATTGTTGTTATCAAGCATTAAGTGTAACTACTGTTCCAAGGTTAACACTGAATGCTCCTTATATGTTATTTCATTTGATCTTCATAATAGCCCTGTGATATAGTTAGGAAGTTTTTAAAAATGAGAAATTTGAAGACCAGAAAGGTTTAAATGATATTCTGTAACATCATCATACATCCACAAAGTAAGTGGAAGAGTTGAGATTTGAATTCGGGTTTCCTGATAGCTATTCTTTATCTAATATTCTCAGTGATCAAATGGAGGAGCACACTTTAAAGTTTTGGTATTCCTAAACTGGAAGTATCCTAAAGGCCTCTCTTTCTGCTCTGTGAAAGGTAATTGAGCAAGTACATAATTTCTCTACAATGAATACTTCTCCTGCTTGTAGCTAGTTCTCATTTTGCATTTCTGTTAATTTAGTGACATTTGCTTTTCCTTAGCTATTTTTTTTCATTTCTGAGTTTCCAGAGAGGCATAAAAGGACAAGTTTATAGTCTAAAAATATTGAGGCAGTTTACACAAATGGCTGCTAGACTCTAAAAGAGTTCTGATTTAACCAGCTAGTAATTATAGACTTAGCTATGCCCTGGGCCCAATCATATCCACTGAAACATAACTTCCTACCACATAAGCCTGATCAAAGATAATTAGAGGAGAGCACAGGTGGCAAGTCTGCACCCTGGGAGAAGAATTATGGCTAGTTTCCACCATACAGTATCCAGAAAAATTTATATGCTTTCATGCTTCAGGCCAAACTTGCAAGAGCCTCAGTTCTCTTTTTTAATTTTTGGATGCTGCCTATTCTTATCTTTCTTTTAAAATTTTAGTTCTGCTATTATCTAAGTAGCATAGAGTAATATTCCTGAGTGGTAGGGTAAGCCAGTAGGCAAAGATTGAAGGAGTATATGACAAATTTCCCCAGTGTACTAAGTGCCTCCAGCACACTCTGCATTGTGTCTAACACCCTGGCCATGTTATTGAGACAAAGAATATATATACATGATTGTTCATTCAGTGCTCCTGGTGAATGGTCTTTGCCCATACAGTCTATTAAGCTTTTAGATATTTGCAGCCATTTTGTAGTGACACATCCTAATAGTTTCTACTTGAATGTGGATCAAATTGCAGTCCTACCCAAGGAAAGAAAACTTTGCTGAAGGCATGCATTTTTAACACCACTTCCATTAGTTCTCTAGGCCTACATGTGACTGGCATACATAAACCAACAAATGTGAGATGAAGAATAACAAATTAGCACAGTTTCTAGAATCATATTATTACCTACAATTGTAGAAAATTAAAATACATGGAGCCAAGTCATAAAGGGCAGCCTGAGAAGATTCTCCATGAAAAGAAATATTCATAATTCTGAAGCATATATCTTGTCATAAAGCTATTGAAACATAGAGCACAGGTACTCCTAAGTCACTTTCATCTGTTTTTCATTCACCCACTAATAATTTGTTTTATTTTCCTCCATTGTAATACATTAGAGGAGAGGAACAATCATATTTCAAAGCTATCACTTACTACCTACTGTATGCTTTTTTATACTGGCATAAAACCAGGCGAAATACAAAGATTAAAAGGGTCACTTGAAATCTAATAATCATAATCACTTTGAAACTGAGAAGTGTCTGAATTTGCATCCACACAAATACTGAGACAGCACAAATTCTGGAGCTAAGTGCATGCCTTTTAATTACAATTCAGTGTTCACAATCAAAAGAAACATTAGGAGGCCAATTGAAGTGTTCCTTCCTGTACAGATATAAGAGAATACAAACATGTGCTTGAAAATAAATATGAGAGAAAAATATTTTTTTTCATCAGTTTGTTTGATACATGTACATCGATTATATTTCTTTTGTAAAAATGATGTTCAGCTAGAGAATCTCATCTACCTCCTTCTATTTCTAGATAAGATTGATATTAAATTTTTGGAAAGAGACTATTTAAACATTGAGTTTAAATATTTATAAAAATTCAGTTTCTAACATAATTTGTTTATAATTTTCACACATTTTATCCCCTTAATCCCCTTTATTTCTTTACATTTTTATAGTTTTATTATCAAAACACTAAAATATGTACAAAAGAAAAGAATTCAAAGTAATATCTCAAAGAGAAATTAGCACCTCTATATTCATTACATCATTATTCACAATACGCAGTAGGTAGAAATGTCCATCAACAGATAAATAAAGATATTGTAGTATGCATAACTCAATGGAATACAAACCACTTAACTTTCAAAAAGAAGAAAATCTTGTCTTATTGTACAACATAGGTGGAACTTGGGACATTATGCTAAGTGGAATAAGCCAATGACAAGAAGATGAATACTGTATGATTCTACTTATATGAGCTATCTAAAGTAGTTAAATTGAGAATAAGAAAGTAGGAATGGCTAAACCTGGGGAAATAGGTGTAGAATTTCAGGTTTGCAAGATGAAAATGTTCTAAAGATCTGTAATACAGCAATGTGAGTATACTAAATGCTGTTGAACCATGCACTTGAAATGATTAAGATGGTAAATTTCTTTTTATTTTGTTTGTTTTTATTGTATATATTTAAGGTATATAATATTTTTATATATATAAATATATGATGAAAGAATTACTACAGTCAAGAAAATTAATGTAATCTACCTACTTACCTAGTTACTTTTTTGTGTTGTAAGAGGAACTTACTCCTACTTCTCTTGGTATTTTCATACCAAATTTCCTGTATATAATACTTATCATACTGTACATTGGATATCTAGACTTATCGTACATAACTGCAACTTTGTACTGTGACCTATATACCTCCACCCCCCCTTCTCTTCTGTTCCCTCTCTGCCTCTGGTAACTACTATTCTACTGTTTCTATATATTCCACTTCTTTTTTCAGATTGAACCCAGGGCCTTCTGCTAAGCAAGCACATTAACACTGAGCTGCACACCCAGGCCTATATTCCATTTTTAAAAAATTAAGATCCTACATATAAGTGAAATCATGGAATATTTTTCTGTGTCTGGTTTATTGCATTTAGCATAAGTTCCTCCACATTAATCCATGTTGTCTCAAGTCCATGTTGTCCTTTCTTTTGAAAGGCTGAATCATATTCCAATGTGTTATGTACCACAATTTCTCTATCCATTCATCAGTTGATGGACACTTACATTGTTTCTATGTCTTTGGCTATTGGAAATAGTGCTGCAAAGAACATGGGAGTGTGTATGTCTCTTTGACATCCTGATATATATGTATATATATATTGGATTGCTGGGTCAGTTGGTACTTTTATTTTTAATGTGTAGAGGAACCTCCATATTGTTTTCCATTATGGTTGTACCAGTTCACATTCCTATTGTTATGGTTTAGATCAGGAAAAATCTCCCACCCCAAACTCTCATGTGCTCAGAGGTGAGACCTTTAGAAGGTGATTGGATCCTGGGGGTGCTATAGCTGACTTGCTTTTAGGAGGTGGGGAGTAGTTAGAGGCAGGTCACTAGGGACATGACCAGGAAGAATAAGCCTTCCTGGCTTTTCCCTTCTCTCTTTGCTTTCTGGACACCATGACATGACCAGCTTTCCTCTGCAGCAGGCCACCCCATCATTTCTGTATTTGAGCTTGCCAACCATGAACTGAAAACATGAGCCAATATAAACCTATCCTCCTTTAATGTTCAGGTATTGGGTATTGATGTCCTAGTGATGAGAAAGTGACTGAGACAGATTTTGGTATCAGAGAAGTGGGGACATTGCTGTGTTACTACCTGACCATGTGGTTCAAAAGCCTTTGGAACTGATTTGCAGGAAGAATTTGGAAAGGTTTGGAGAATGCTGTAAGCCAAACTTGATGGAAAATTCTGGCCAGATCTTAGAAGACCAAATGCTGATACTGTAGAAATGGAGACAGTAATGGCTAGACACAGGAGGTTTCAGTTTGGAAGGACTCCATTGGCAGTTGGGCTAGAGGCCATGTGTGTTTGCTCTGGAAGAAATTTCATGGGAGACTGAGATTAAGGGTGGTGGACTAATTAATCTAGTGAAGGAAATTTCAAGGTAGTCCAATATTCAGGCTGATGCATGGGTACTGCTAGTTGCTTTAAACAAAATTTACAAAGAAAATCAGGAAAAAAATCACATTTGAAATGTTTGGTGATTTTTCAGAAAGGAAGCTCCTGCAAAGTTCAGGAGTTGGAGAGCATGATTACTGAAAAGATTAGCACTTAAAAAGCCAATTATTTTTCATCAGGACAATAGGAAATATGCCTTGAGGGCATCTCTGGAATCAGAAAGACCCCCACCCTTCTCTCACTTAAGGGTGTAAAAGGATCAAGATATTATGTATTATTTAGTTTATTTGACTTTTAAAATTTTTATACTTTGAGTTTCTTGTATAAGAGAAACCATACAATATTTAAGCTCATGTGTCCAATTTATTTCACTTAACATTATGGTCTCTAGCTGCATTTATTTTCCTACAAATTATTCAAATTTATTCTTCTTTATGGCAGACTAGTATTCCATCATGCATAAATACCACATTTTATTTATGTATTTACCTGTTTGCAAATGGGTAAGGGATACAAAAATGGAGGGAGAAGAGAGTGAGGGGAGGGGAATGGAGAGTAAAAAGAAATAAGATGTGTTATGTGTATGTGTCAATTCTCTGTGATGAATGTAATCACTATATACTGCAAACATGTGCTAAAAAAATGAATTAAAAAGAAAAAAGTTTTTAAAGAGTAAAGATAAGTTCCTTTAGAAGACTTTGCTTTGAGAAAAGACCCCCAGGATGAGTTGTTCAAGAAAGGCCCTCTAAGTAATTAGTTCATTGTGATTTAGTTCACAGTTCTCAGCCGTCCAGGCATATAGAGACTTTTGTAGTCATAATCCAAGGGGACCTGGGTACTGCTCAAGTTGGTGGCAGATGTTTGCTGGTGCTTATTTACAGGCATGCAGAATGCAAAATTTGTGGCATCAAGGAGTTTTCCACCCAGCTATCAGAAGAAATCCTGGAAAGTCAAAGAGTGTGCCCATGAAAGGGTACTGTGTGAAGCTGTGAGGATGAAGCCAAAAGTGCAGTGGTGACCCCAGGAATTTGGAGGAGCCAGAAATATTGAACATTTGAGTAGTGCCATGGATAGTGAGCAGAGCCAACCCAACAAAGAGGCCATGAGAGCTGCAACTGGCAATGCAATAGGAGTAGGACCACCCAAGTCCTTTGAAGTTCACATCTCACCACAACTTTCCCTGGGTACTGAACATTGAGCTACAAGGTTTAATATTTGCCCTGCTGGGTTTCATTCTTGTTTTGGTCCCATTCCTTTCTATCCCCTCCCCATTTCTCTCCTTTGGAATGGAAATGTTTACTCTGTACCATTGTATGTCAGCAGTGTTTAACTTTCTTTTTTATTTTTTCAGGGACTCACAGCTAAGAGTTTGCCTTGGGTCTCAGAGGAGAACTTAAGACTTGGACTTTCCAGCAGTTCTGAACCATTAAGACTTTGGTGACTCTTAGAGATAGACTAAATGTATTTTGCACAAAGAGATGCACATGAGTCTTCTAGATGTTGTGGCAAAATTTTATGGTTTAGATCAAGAATGAGTTCCAAAAATCTCATGCACTCATATGTAGGGCTTTGGAAGATGATTGGATATTCAGGAAGCTATAGCTGACTTGCTCTTAGGAAGTGTGGCCCAATTAGAGGCAGATCATGGGGTGGGACCTGGAAGGGTATGTATCCCTCCTTGGGTCCTCTCTTATCTCTCTGCTTCCTTGCTACCATGATGTGAGCAGCTTTCCTGCATAGCAAGTCCTTCTACCATGTTGCTTCTGCCTTTGAGCCTGCCAAACATAGACTGAAAATGTAAGCTAAAATAAACCTATTCTCCTTTAAGTTGTGGGTGTTGAGTATTATGTCTCAGCAATGATAAAATCACTAAGACTCCCACCAACAAGTTTTATATGTTTTTTTAAAACTAGAATTAAAAATTTAAAAATAAGTCAAGTTCATGCTGGAGTAGAGTAGACCTCTAATTCAATGTAACTGGTATCGTATCCATACAAGATAATGACTACTGAAACAGCCCTGTGGCCCTGGTGGAAAATACAGACCCATGGGCTGGAGCCCAACCAACTCCACAACTGTGAATTCCACACCTTGGCTCAGCCACCGTCAACTTGGAGCTGGCTCTGCATTGTTTCCCCTCTGCATGGTACAGCAGAAGTGCCTACCAAACAATAGACCTGATCTTGGACAAGGAAAAAGTCTGGAATAGAGGATTCATCATGGCTGACTAGGGGAGAAGTCACATCACAGAAGTTGAGGAAAGATCCAACATGGCTGAGTAGAGAAGGAGCCATGTTAGAGAGACTCAGGGAACATTAACCAGAAACAAGGAAGAGGAGAAACTATCAGAAAAGTAAAGGAACATAAGATACGGATTAACCAAACACAATGTGGTGATCATGTCTGAATTGTGATTTGAAGATTCTAACCCAAAGAACACTTCAGAGACAACTGTAGAACATTCTATAAGGAAGAGAGAACTGCACTGGGGTGAAAGAATCAGCAACCATTGGAACCTGCAAGGGAAGTGTGGGATACTGCTTTCAGAGTGGCCTTCCATAGTCAACATTTGATAAGTGACCATGGTCCGGGGTCCCCCGCCACAATTGTGGAACAAGCGCTGGCAGGAATGACATTGTAGGGAAGGGCTCAGTGTTCAAACCCGAGTGCAAGAGCAGCCACACTCCATGATGTCACACTCCACATTGTCAAGTTCCCAAAGTGGATGAGGGGAGGAAAACCATGGGAGTTGGAGAGCAGACTGGAGAGAGTCCTGCTGAGGGGCTGGAGCTGGTGAACACAGACCTAGCTCCTGAGGTCAGAGGCCAGGTTCAGCCTGAGTTACATAGGATTGGAAGGTCACATTGGTGCCCTGTCCCCACTGTATGCAGATATCTGCATCCAGCACCATTCTGGGGGCTGACTGCCACCTTAGACTTCCAGTGTGAGCAGAAATATGTCTTGGCTTGAGCTTGACTCTTTATTATTAGTCTGTGGAAAAGAGCCATACAATAGAAAACTTCTTTTTTTGCTGTTTTCCTCCTTTTGTTCATTTCACCCTATTTTTATTTACAAAATAATTGTTCAATTTAGTCATATATATATATTTTTTAAAACCACTGTCAATTTTACTAGAATTATTAATACATTTTAGGCATACATAATGTTAGTACTCATTATAGGGAATTTGCACCTGTAAATGTTACATCCCGCCCCCTTTTTCCCATTACCCCCCTCCTCTCAATCCTTTCCCCTCCCCTCCGTATGTACAAAAGCTTTGTTTCCATTTTTTCCTTCTATTTTCACTTTTTTCTTGTCCCTTCCTTCTTTTCTCCCTCCTCCCTTGTTCCCCTTCCTACTAGAACATTTTCTTCCCATTTCCCAATATCATACATTTTAGTCCTTATTTCCACTTTCAGTTTCTCACATCAGAGAAACTGCGCAGTATTTAAACATGTGTGTCCAATTTACTTCACTTAAGAGTATGGTCTCAACAACCCACAATGTGGGAAAAAGTCTTCACCTGCTTTTCCTCAGACAAAGGTCTACTATCTCGAATCTATAAAGAA